CTGTCCTCCACCTGCCCCTGCTGTTGTTTGGAGGTGCTGTTGGGCCTTCTGTGTGAAGGAACCTGGCAAGAGATTGATGGTGCCTTTGGCTAGTATCCTCGTGCCTTGATCTGGCTGTGGGGAATGTGCACGCTGAGAAGCAGGCCCCAGGTAGGAAACGTTTGAATGAGAGGGAGCGCTGAGCTATTACTATTTGTGTGACAAGGTACCCCAAAAAGATGTCTGGGAATAGGTTGAGAGCATGTGTTTGTGATTACGCCTTGGGAATCACATTCCCAGTTCAAGGTGGTGTGCGTTACAGGATAACAACTATGACTTTTGATTCTTCCTTTTCTCTGGTTTGTACTTGATAGGAAGGCTATATCCTTCAAATTCGTTTTCACTTATCTTCTACTGGTGAATGAGAGCAATATACTCTAAGGCTATATTTTATTCAGTGTTTCAGGGAGTAGAGTTGTTGGATCTGTGTTCAGAAGTGCCTGGTTTGTCGTGTCCGTGAATCACTTTCTACACAGTTTAAGGCATTGGTGAGTTTATAACACACGATGGCTAGGCTGCGTCTCCTTGGGAATCTGTCTACTTCTCTGCCCACCGTTCTAGTCTGTGAATATGCTCAGGAAACAACCATGGTTTGGACTGAAAGCAGGAGAACAAATTCAGGTCTTTGCTTCTGGAACTCTTCCAAGCCATCAGCTACCTCAACTTGGATATATTAATTTCTAGGCATTCTGCAAGGAACATCTTATTTGCAGGGTGTTGTGTGCTCCTGACTTTACCTCAATCCAAGATCAAAATTCAATTTCTTTCACTTCTCAGTAACTGCTGAGTATAAGGATTTGAAGATTCAATTTAGGCTCTATTGAAAGAAAGATTTCTTTATTGGCGGCTTTACAGGAGTAGAGAAAAATATTAAATAAAAGGTAGTATAGATATAAAAATAAGTGTGACTAAAGTGCATAACTAAAAAGTTTTTTCAACTGGTTCCTAATGGGTTTTGAAATATGACTTAAAAATCTTGAGCAGTACAGAATGTCCTGACTTACATCTCTTTCCTGGGGAAGCTAAATATTTCTATCTGTGTATATTTCTGAGGTCATAGTGAATATAATCCATGAATTCTGGTATATCCTTATATGTATCTCAATAAGGAATTACAGCGCTTTCTATCTGGGCTGAAGTAGTTTAAACTAGTAATAGTAAGAGGGGACAAAGAAAGATAGTAAGTGGATGGTGCTAGTATGATGGAGTGCTCTTGGAATTGAAGCCTGAACACTGATATTACATTAGGGAATAACTTTGTTTTAACTTAGCTATTTTATTGAATTTCAGTTGTGGAAATACATTTGATCAAGCTTAGCTTTCATAGAACTACTGAGAGATTGAGATTGGAAGGGACCTCTAGGGATCATCCAGTCCAACCCCCCTGCTCCAGCAGGGACACCTAGAGCACATGGCACAGGGTGGCATCCAGGTGGGTTTGGAAGATCTGCAGAGAAGGAGACTCCACAGCCTCTCTGGGCAGCCTGTTCTGGGCCCTGTCACCCTCACAGGAAATAAGTTCTTCCTCATATGGAGATGGAACTTCCCGTGTTTCAACTTGTACCCATTACCACTTGTCCTGTGTCCTTTCATTTAACAAATGTTTTGTCTTGTTTGGTTGGTTGGTTTTTGTTTTGTTTTGAAAATGGCTTGATTAGTCTATATTTAAGAGCAGACTGATGCATCTGGCCTGGAACATTAAGGACAGTACAGACCGACAGGGTTTCTCAGGGAAGGTAAGGACTCTTGACCTTTCCTATGGGACACAGTTGCAATAGTGCAACCCTCTCCTTGAGACATACTGGGCAGTGTCAGGCCCTAGTTGGGGAAACTCATCAAACTCCTATCCCTTTCCTTTCTGTTTGTGGGTAAATAGCTTGCAAACCTTCCAGCAATTTTCTTCAGTTGGGTGGTCAGCTTTTTTTCACATGACGCGGCAGGAACCTGGCAATCTCCAAACCTTCAACAGGAAACTGGGAGGAGTGTGTGTGTGTCACAAATTTCCATCCATTGGGCTGCATTAGTTTAGTTACTAGTGGTGCTACAATTGCATCATTGAGTCTCTGAAATTTTCCGCTTGGACCAGCTGTGTTTCTCAGAACATCGACCTCTTTTCTTCCTAGTTTCAAGTTTTTGGTATGTTCTTTCTTTCAAGTTGGCTTGCACTCAGTTGACTTCTTGCTGCCCTACTTGCCAAAATGCAGTGTATGTGGCGTGAAATGTTTTGAGCGGTCCCTTACCCAACAGAGAGGATAGCAGCATGCCTTTTAAGCTCTCTGATCTTTCATTCGGAAACATGTCTAGGAGTATGCTGTAGTCTTGTTGACTTCCCCAAGGAAGTCAATCATATCTTTAGATCAATCAGATCTTTAAAAAATTACTTTGATGTAGAGCTTTACAAATAGAAAGTTGGAGAAGAGATCAACAGAGGCAGAATAAACAAAGATCACGAGAATGGTGGAGATTTGGCAGTGCTGATTTGGGGAGGAAATCTTACCACCCATGTGTTTTTGTTTGTTTGTTTGTTTTCTGTTTAGTAAAAAGGGCATTCTTCACTTCTACAGCTTTGAATGTTGGCATATGAGAAGTTTGTGTACTGAAGGATTGTGTGAGGATCATCCGAAAGACAAGTCCTGCATGTAGGTCTTTATTCGTAGCTCAGGCGACAATGTTCAGAGCTGCTAGGCAGGAAGGGTAAAGGATGTTTTGTTTGCCACCTAATGCAAAGACACGTGGTGTGGCCCAGTCCTTCTAAAAAATAAATTACTGATGTGAAATCAAAATATTAACTGGAGAGTTAAAATGTTTAGCAAATTATTGAGGTATAAATACTGTACTTGGCATTTTTAGATTTCAGGTTAAATCTTTAGAGTAAGCAGTGGCAGGTCTGAATTTTAACAGCTATTGCTCCAACTGATAGGCTTTACCTCTGAAGGGGGTGTTGGCTGTGTTAGTCACCCTGCACAACATCAATGTATGTATAAAATTCTGGTACTTTTGAAATTAATGAGAATTTTGCTGTTGATGCAGGAGCTGATAATCTAAGAAAGGTAAGGCAGAATTTTGGGAAAGTTTGGGGAATCAATGCCATTGCAGTGAGTTCTTTTCTCTTCTTTGGAGACATAAAAAAATACTTTTTTTGCTCTCCATACTCCAGTATACAAACATTATATCTTCAGCTTGGAAAAGACACAACTTACGCTTCACACTTAAAATCAAAGCTCATAATCTTTGCCAAGCTCAAATATTGATACATTCCCTGGAGACACTTTCTTTATGGAAAACTCAAACAAAAATAGGAAATTCTTCATGTCATTTAGCATGGTTTATACGTTTCCAAGACCAGGCTATCTAAAAATCTGTTGGTTGCTGTAAACATACTAGTTTGAGCACCTCTGCATGGAGGATATAACTGGGACCTCTTCAGGTCACATATTCTCCTCTATTTCTTATGACTTCTGTGATTCACTATTTTAATTGTCTACTTTGAAAGGTCAGAAAGTGCAAAATCTTGACTGTGAGCACACGAGAAAGGACAAGACAGAATATCTAGAGTACTCTGGGGATGATGGTTATAAAGTTGATCAAATTCCTGCGGCAGCTTTCTCTGAAGAATAGTGCAACATTGCTGATGTAGCAAATCAGGCTCACATAGTTCTGCTGGGGACCTGGTGTTCCAGGTAAATAGGCAGGTTCAGATTAATTAAAAGAATCAAAACGAGGACTCTCTCTCTCTCTCTCCCCAGGCTCATTATGCCATTGCCTAATTTATGGAGGGCTCTGCTGTTTCCTCTCTGCATTGAATGTGGCAGCATATCTCAGGATCAAAGCCCAACACTGGGATTACTCTTTTTTTTTTCTGCTCAGATAATAGAGACAGGAATCAGAAAGCAGAGTTCTCCCTCTAGCCTCTTGCATAACAGTGGGGAAGCTGCTAAATTGTAAGTTTTCAAAGAATGGAATTAACACTTAGCGGCAGGTTCAGCTGTGAGAGGTATCCAGCAGCAATGCTGCGGGCCTGGGACGTGCCCAGCTACTGCCAGTGCTGACGGGAGAGGTGGTGTCTCCCCGAACCCTTTCAGTGCCAGCTTGTTTGTTTAGATGTTTAATTAAAAAACAAAAACAAACTCTAAGCCTTTGTCAAAGCCGCTCGACTTGGATGGTGCCTAAACATGGAGTCTGGTTCCTGGTGTTGAAAAAATGACTGTTTAATGACTTAGTGCTTTTGTCCTGTAAATGAAGAAGGTATGAATATTTACTTTCCAGGCAGAAATTTTGCATCATTAATATCTGTAAAGCTCTTCCATATTCAATATTCTTGTCTTCTCACACGCAGTGCTGCATAAAAGAGACTTGCATATATGGGAGCAGTGGCTTTCCCCAGGTGCGGCAGCCTGGAGCTGTGGTGCTAATGCGGCAGTGCCTCGAATCCCATTGCTCTGGGCACCTGCTTCCTCGCTTTCTTCCAGGTGCCTCAAAGGAGGTGGTTTCGATACTCTCAAAGTTGGGCCCTGATGTTAATGTTGTCTTGGCCTGAGCTGTCAACCCAAATGAAATATTTTGAATTGGAAATTCCTGTCTAAATGTATTGTAAAATACACTTGAATAAGAGGTGAAATACTTGGCTCCAAAGACAATGAAGGAAAATAGTGTGTGATGATATGCAATGTTCTTCAAAGTCTGTCTGAAACTTTAGACTGGGAGCGCCAAAAGTGCAGCTTTTCTCTGTTGCTACTTTTGGTTCCTGCACTCAGGATACGCTCGATCTTGCTGCTATTTTTGATGGAGGTAGGTAGGATCTGTCCCTTAGATTTTTCATTTGTCAATTTTTTGCAGGCTTTGCTGCCTTTCTGCTTCAGCTTTTTTTCCTGGGAAAGAGGTGAACATTTTATCAGCAATTTTTCACACTGTGAACTTAAGCTCTTGAATTGTTATTTTGTTTATTTCTTTTTTTCTTGCAGCTGGTGCTCAGGATAAAATTGGCTGGGCATTTGGCTTGGGTTTGGAGAGGCTGGCCATGATCCTGTATGATATCCCTGACATCCGACTGTTCTGGAGTGAAGATGAACGCTTCCTGAAGCAGTTTATTGTGCCTCACATTTACCAAAAAATAAAATTCCAGGTAAAATAATGCATATATGATAATAAATTTCTGTCAGTAAGAAGGGTATATAACCCTAGAGAATAGGGCATATTTAAAATTCTATGCCACTCTCAAATGAGATTTTAAAACGACGGCTTTCCAGCTATCATGATTATCTGATATACTAGAACAAACTTCAGCTTTTGACAATAACATTTCTGAGCCAGGTAATGTGAATTGCTGCTGATGCCCAACTACTATCTCTCTTCTGAATATTAAACATATATTTATATGCTGAAGATGAAATATTAAGCATATTTTTAACTTTTAAATTTGTCCAGAATAGAGATTGATTTAGGACTGTACCTGTTTTGGGCATGTTCCCAAATGGGGCTGTAATTCTGGATTGATAGATACATCTGTTGGATGCTGACTGTTCGAATATTTTAATACACTCTCAAGTTTCTCCCTTTGTCTTTTAGTCTGCGTTCGTGGAGGTCAATGTGAGTTGCCCTGTTAGATGCTGGGAGTGCTTTGTAAATATGCCTCATGATCTGCAATATATCAATGGGAACAGGTATTAATATACAACTTTTGCATGCCTTGGTGCACACTAGCAGCTCTTTCCTGTGGTAGTGGGGCAGAAGGTGCAGGCTCAACTTCTTTTATGTTTCTGTCCTATCTCCTGTATTGAGGCTTCATGTAGTTTTTCTAGCTGGAAACCTATGTCTCTTGTAACAACAAAGTAATCAAACAGAACTGGATGGAGTGGAAATGCTTCTACCATAATGTTCTTCAGCCTGGTTAAGTCAACTGTTTTTGCTGGTCTGTGGGTGAATTGAGCTGATGGCTG